ACCTGCCCATTTTACCCGAACTATTTAAAGTACCCCCAAAGTAATAGAGTGCCCCTTTCAGGTTTATGCCAAAGGCATTGAGCACATGTTCCTCAAGAAGCCCATGCCACAGTGCTGTTAATCCCCCGGGGGGGTTTATAATTAAGTGAAAACAAAATTCTGCATACTTAAAAACACTTTTTCATTATTTTTCACAGCCTTTGTGCCTTTACAAAATGTAAGGGGGGGTGTGGGAGGTGGCAGCTGAATTCCTTTGATTCTGTGGAGCAGGCTCCCATGGGAGCCTGGGAAGGAGACAGTTGTAGGTTGGGCTCTCCTGTTCAGTAAGGTCACCGCTTCTGCCTTTTGGCTGGTGCTTGGAATGTGCAGAGAGAGAGTGGCGTGGCATTCCTCAGGATTCCTCAGCCCCTGCTGCTCTATTTAAGTAGCGTGCAGCACCCGCCGGCTCCACGTGGCGATGCATTCCCATGGTGTGCAGCGATTCCGAAAGGGAAAGCCGGTGCCAAGGCACGTTTTAGTCGGAGTCGGGAGGAATCGGGGAGGTCATTGGAGACCTTTAATCTCATTCTCAGGAGACAAAATAAGATACTATTTCTAGGATTCAGATCAGGAAGGCCTGAATGACAACTGAGTGGCAAGTGTCAAAGGCTGTGAGCTGAAGATTACATTACTGAGGCCTCATGATTGAAAAGAACAGTTTTTTAAAGGATGGTAAAAAAAATTAAAATGGTGTTTCAAAAAAGGATGCATTGGGCGCATAGCAGTCCTCTTTTGCAGTTCTTGCAGTGACAAAAAATGTGTCTGCGGCCCAATGCAGTGTGTTGCAGATCATGGGTTCAGTCTGGTCTCGGTGCTTTCATGTATAACCCGGAGCTAGAGTCAGAGTCCACCACTTTGTGGGACCATTATGGTATGTAGTGTGGGGGTTGGGGGAGCATTCAAAGAAAGAAAGAGTCCACAATATGCTTGGCACACAAAGGTCTTTGTCTTTGCACTGTCACAATGGTTGATTGAGTCTTTTAAAAGGAACGTCCAGCCTTTGGCTACTCACTGTATCCCTGCTTCAGCTGTATCAGTAGCGGCTGTTCAGTAGTAACCCTTAATCCCATTTCCCAAACACAGCTGAAGAGTATAGGCATGTTAGCTAATTACCAGCTGTCTGAGTTTAAATAATGAGTCTTACATTCAGAAGCCTTGATTCACACTATGGCCTCTTACCCAGAGACAGGATTCAGGTTCACTGTATGCATTGCTATGCCGAATAAGTGGTTATGGAAGGTCAGTGGCTGGTGTCTCCTGTTGTGGTTATGCTAGCAGTTCCTTAAATTGCAATCAGGTCATGTGCATGGTAATGACAGCAATGTGACATTTGGCTACTGAAGCTAGCAGGAAAGAGTTGTACTGCAGTAAACTTTGGTCAGTGGACTGTGACTTTGACTGCTAGGCACTTCTCTTTTTAAGTATTAATAAAGGCGTATTTATTGCATTTGTACTTGTTCTCCATTGTCTCTGTCATCACAAATAGAGCGCAGCGAGTATCGACACTTGGGGAACTGAAAATGGCTGCGCACTCAAAGCTACGGCATCGCAGTATGTCATGGACTGAAAAGAGACAGGGAGGGAGGCCGATTTTGAGAGGAACTGAGCAAATGGCACAAGCAAATGGAAACAGAGTGTTCTTGTGCTTAGGTCTTAATTTGGGAAGTTGAAAATGACACAAGCCCACTCACCACACGTGCATATGTACTGCGAGCACTCTACCCTGAAGTATATAAGTACATGTCAAGTTTTACTCCTTTCTAGTTCAGGAAGAAAATGAGGGCACTCTCAGAGCTGCTAGCGCATAAGAAAGGATGTGTGGGCACCAGTAGGGAGGATGTGGTCATATAATTGTGCTCTGTAAAGGAAATGCATCATGGACCTCCAGCAGAGAATAAGAAAATTACCATGACTTTCTATAACTGACAGAACTCTTATTTCCCCATTTAGATTACCTCATAGGTTACTGTTTATTCGTCTTATAGGATGCTTTTACAATTAGGTTTCAGTTGGGAAAATGATCAACATATTTTTAGACACAGGGTGGGATTACAGTTAAAAATGTCCAAATTACACAGAAGTGTTAATCTTGGCAGAAGAGGCAGTAGGCGATGTTTGGTTTTAGGGTCATAATTATTTTACACTCTCCAGATTAGAAGGTTTTCCAGGTAACACCTGTTCTGCAAGATCATTGTTTACACATAAAAGGGCGGAGTCTATTGTCATTCAGGTCAAAAAAGAACCGAAATGCTACTTGAGTTTGTAATACCCACGAACTGTACTTCCCCATGACTACCCCCACCCCCACCTTTGCGATTACTGTACTTTTTCAAACAGATATTTCACTACAGAGGGTTCACTGGATGCCAAGCGTGCTTTTGGTTGCCCTCTGTGTTGTGGTGACCCTGTGATCTTTCCTCTGAACGTCGTGTTGTTGCTGTGACCGTGTGCAGAAGGGGAATGCACAGCAGATGCTGGTTGGTGCCTGCGGGTACAGAAAATGACACCAGTGTAATTAATGTAACAGGTGCTGGTGACATGGAGGAAGGGACAAAGATATCCAAAGAAAAAGCACATCGTTCGTCTCATGGGACCACCCACCGAGGGATGTTCCCACAGACGCTCTGTAGTAATGTGCTTCATCCACAATTGCAACAATGTAGCATAAGAAACTATGGATTCCAGAGGTCGTCCAGCAACTTCCCACTATCCACTTTACAATTATGTGTTATTTCTTTTTTCTGTTCTTTGCTCCGTTATTTTACATCTGATTCATTGGCCATCATCTACGCATTTCATTGGTTAGAGACAAAGACAGTTTTGTGCCATCAGATTCAATAATAAAGCCATACACTTGGGAAAAGGCACTTGGGGAATTTTGGCGTGCATCATAACCAACCCTGGGAGACGGAATCACCATTTTCTGGCAATAACAATGAATATTCATTGTTACACACTTGTTACAGGATTGACACTAAGACATAATCACGTCTTATTCTTCAAACTACTAATTGTTTTATTTAACAAGCATGACAATTTTTATGTAAAGGTATTCAAATAAAGTGAGTTCAGATGTCCCATCCATCTCTTGTTATACACATGACAGGTGGAAAGGAGTGAGTTTTTACACTGTTTACCAATGAAATGTTCTAAAACTAGAGGTGTGGAACAGATGTTCATTTGTCTTTTTTACAAGTCCCACCTCCTGGTCGCCACTCAAACGAAACTGTGTATTGTAGCCCACATCTCTGGCCCATGCACCTCCTGGAGACCAGGCACTATGCACACACACTGCGTGCATATCCTGAGTTGAGTCATCGGGCTGAAGGTACCATGAAAGACAAATATTGACCATCACCAACAAACATAACGACATTTGTTAATGTTCTTACATCTTTGAAACACAAGTGTATGTGTACATTATTCTTTAATTATTATGACATTGCAGCAGGATCTAATCAGACTCATCTGGGCACCTCTCAGTATTAATGTATTATCTGTGTAACAGGGGAGTTTATAGCTATTGAAGAGATCAGGAGCTAAGTTAAGTTTACCTGGGGCTTGAGGTTCTTTTTTTTTGAGTGTAATGTATATTATTTGTTATTAAGCAATTATTCATCAGTAAATGAATGATAGATGAGGGACAATTAACCATGCAGCATGGTAACTATTTCGGAAAAAAAAAAGACTTGATTGAGTATTTTTGGTTACACCTGGATCCATTTAACCGTGCCATTAGCCACATTGTCCTGAAGTGTGCTCTGCGATGACATTTCAGGGTGTCCCTGAGCTTTCCCAAGGTCTCCCTCAGGTGGCACTCAGACGCCTATCCGAGGTCCCTCTGAGTAAAGCAGTCAGAATATTGCTTTATGGTTGCTCCTTTTAACATTAGATCCCGAGAGGTATGTCAGGGCTGGACGCTCGTGAGAAAGTAGGATTTGAGCTGCCAGTTCTGACTCAAACGAGGATTAGGGAGCCTGGACTCCTTTCCATCATGCTGTGTTGGGTCGATCGGCTAAAGCACTGACAGTCCCTCAATATCGCTTCAACAGGAAATTCTTTGTAATATCTCTAGCAGCAGTAATATCTGTAACTCAGCTGTTAACTTTCCTTGACCTTTTGTTTGGGGGGGGGGGGGAAAGGTTTACCTTTCTGATTTTACAGTGTTTGCCGTTGTAACGGCTAACGAACAAGGTGCATGGTTACATATTATTATTCAAATGACGCTTTCCAGCTGTCGGCTTCACAGTCCCCACCCACTCACTTTCCCTCCGATTCCTTGACGCACGTTGGCTTTTTTAAAACGTGCACTTGTCAGGAACCCGATATGAAAATCCCCACAGCTGGCATTCCCCATTCTGGCTGTATCTTACCCGATGTCTTAGTAATATGTTTTACCAGGATCGCTAACCATGTAGCTCCCTCTTGAATTAATGCCTTTGAATTCTGTAATTGAGTCATTCACTAAAAAGCAAGATGCATAAAGAACCTGCTTACAGCTACCGGAAACTGAAAAGGGTAAGCATACGAATGAAATAGGCAAAGTAAACTCAAATGTAACACTGTAAAAACAACCTAGGGGCAGGAATATCCTTGTTTATTTTGTTTCCAGATAATTTTTTTCAGACAAGCTTTTACGTCTATCTATCTATCTATCTATCTATCTATCTATCTATCTATCTATCTGTCTGTCTGTCTGTCTGTCTGTCTGTCTGTCTGTCTGTCTGTTTGTCATAGAGGAAAGTGACATTTCAGTGAAACTCCACTGTGGGACGTCTTTCCTGCACAGTGAAGGGGCAGACATTTTGCATGAATACGGGAAATACCTAAGGTGCAGCACCTTTCTCACAAACTTCCATGCACAGATGATGAGCAGAAAAACCAAGTTTGTGGCTGAGACAAAAAGGCACGTGAGTAGCTTACATGCCGAAATTGATAACAGTGGGGATCTTTGGTACAGTTTTTATAATGGACAATAGGAGGTTTCTATGTCAATAATTCATCACACGCTGAACACTTCTACCTTTATACAGCAGATAAAAATCTGAGATGAGTGTCTTTCTGTTAAGTCCATGACTGACTGATGTCACGACCTTCCTTCTGGGGGAAAAAGAGGCTTTTCTGAGAACTACCATTGGCAAGGTTGAGTGCTTTAGCAGATGTTTGGTGTCCTTATTGAAATACAAACACTTGAGTAATGATAATGAGGTGATTATTATCAAGGGGATTTCCAGCTCTGACACCAATGCATCTCATTCCAAAAAATACCTAGAACATGGATAAGCAGGCAATGAAATATCCAGGTGCAAGCTGAGGCTCAATCTATGCTTTTCTTGGATTCACGCAATGACATTCATCTGCCAACTATTCATACATCCTTGTTGCTATTAATGGGAGAAAGCTTTGGTTGGTTAGCTTAGGATTGCCATGCTAGTATACAGTACCATTTAACCTAATAGTAATTAATGGGGAGTGGATTCAGCTGACCAGTACTTGACATCAGACCGTAATCACACCCAACTTCAGGTTTGCAGCTTATTTCCATAAGTGCACTGTCTAGTGGACATTCATCACATTGGTTAACAGTTGTGCATATTTGTGGGTGCTTGTTTTTGCTGCTTCCCTGCACCTAGCACAACTGGTGTGTTTGCAGTAGCTGTAGCAGATCTCACTATATGGGTTGGGGTGGTGTGTGGTCCAGCGAGCTAAGCCTGGGCAGAACAGTCACACGTTCCCCCATCCCCCCCAGTCTAAAATAGCTTTTATTTTAAAGACATATTTCTATTTAGTTTTTATATATTTTAGCTAGTAGTAATTTCTATTTAAGTTTTAGTCATTTTATTTCTATGGATAGAGTGAAAGCTGAATGTATCTTTAAATAATCCTATTTGAAAATACACTGCACATTATGTATTAATTAGCAAAATATGTTCCAGATATTATTAATGGTGATTCAAGATAACAAATCAATACTTTAGCTCAATAGTATTAAACATTGCAATGGAAAGTGCTTGACATTTGTTTTTATTTTATTTCAGTTAGTTTCAGAAACAATATGTATTTTTTTTCCGTATGTTGCGTAAATATTTCTTTATAGTTTTAGTTTTTCCTTAACTTTCCGCATTCATTGTCCTCGTATAGCAAAATTAAAATTTTCTCAAAAGCTGTGTATTTATGATACATGTTGTATCGTCCATGAATTGTAAACTAATATTTATAGCACAAGGCACAAGAATGGGAGCAGCCTGTACAGGATACCAGTGAGATATATATGCATGACTAATAAATCCATCATTACTTAGAGATTTATAATGAGACACATTCTTGGATGAAATGTTATAATATTTTCCTCATAATTCCAGGAACTTTTATTGGCTTCATGCCCTTATCCTCATGTGAAATATGGACTGACCAAAATAGAGACAAGACTGCAATGTGACAAACACTGTCCACTGGGCAGAATGTGAGATGCGGACCAGGTAGCATGTCACGAGGGGTGTCCCAATATGTCCAATGCACAACAGACCATCTGACGGGGGGGGTGTTTGAGTCACTAGCAGGAGTGAGCTGTTGGGGGGTGTTGGGCGCAGTTGTGGCAATGGAAGTGAGAATGACGCAGTTGAAACCAGGCAGAGTGAAGCATGACTAGTGGTCCATCAAGAAATGCGTAAGTCTTTTGCACATGTGGCCAAAGGGGAAGTTAGAGCAGTCTGCACATTTGTGAGAAGTTCAGGCTACATCGTGTTAATTTTAAGAGGTATAGTTGCCATACTGTCATATCTCAGTTTTGTTTTGCGGACTGTTGTTTTAGTAGGTGGCTTTGAAGTTAGGGGGACCTTCAAGTGATGGGCTTACAGTTACAGTTTAAAAGAGGGGTTTAGGAGATGGGGCTACGAGAGTGTAATGACCTGGAGAAAAATCCATTAAATCCAGTAATAAACAAGGCAAAATAATGCCAAGATAAATATAGGGAAGTGATTGTAATTCATGAAAAATGGGGCCAAGCTAATGAAAGATCCCTGATCTCAGTAAAAAAAGAATAGTTCAACAAAGGTGAAAAAAACATATTGCTCAGACCCAAAACTTTTTACCTTATTCAGATGGAAATGTTCAGTGGAACAATTCAAGCAAGTCGTTCAAAAGCGCAATGGCCTGACTTGAACACTACTTGCCCTCACGACCAGCTGAGACTCGATCATACTACATGAATAAAAATAACGGAGACATCCCCCAAACGTCCTGCATAAAAACACTCAGTCCTCAGCACTGCCACGAGTGGTGTGACCTTTTTTTAAAAAAAAAAAACGCAGGAAACTGTGAGACAATGATATCGCTGTGCTGTCCGTGAGCTGTACTTCGGTGGAGGAAAAAAAGGAAATGCCTTGTGAGGCTACAGCCAACAGCCAACACGCATGAGTCAGAGATGGCGTTCGTCCTGACCCTGGATAGAAATCAAACCGAAAGCACAGTGCTGGCCCCTCGAAG